CTGGCATGTGGTGCTGGGGGATTGAACCGCGGTCCCTGTGCTTTGCTAAGCTTGTTCCAAGTAGGTGCTTTAGACCACTGAGCCATCTCACCAGCCCCTCTGTGTTCTCTTTGTTACAGCTTCACTTGAAGAAAGGAAACTTCTTGGTACTCAAAGCAAAGGAACTGGGCCTCCCAGTGTGAGTGTCAGGGATGAGGCTGCTGGGGACCTTGGGTTCCCTCTGCTCTTAAAGAGAACGCATCTCACAGTGGCCTTGCGTCTTTCTTGCAGTGGGACGGCTGCCATTGCACCCATCATCGCTGCTGTCAAGGATGGGAAGAGTGTCACGTACGAAGGAAGAGAGGTGAGTCACTAGGTTTCCATGGTGACTCAGCACATGCACAGGCTGTGGGACACTGCACAGGGCCACCGTCCAGCGCAGGCCCTACTGACCCTGCTGTGGAAGGGAATGGGACAGCTTGAGGTTCGGGCGCTTGTCAGCGCCGTGGAACTCTTACCTAGACTCTTCCCACTCTCTGCACTGCTGTGGGTGCTCTGTAGATTCCTGTTTGGCATCTGGGGGTCCTCGTACACTCATGGATTCTTGTCTTTGTACTTGTGATGAGGACAGTACCTAAAAGCAACCTGTGCAGATGGGCTTTGGGTGCGTGGCCAGAACAAATGTCGCTGTGCTTTTCTGCCTTTTGTGGTTTGCGTTTTTGTTTATTTGTTGATGTGTGTGGTTTTGGTCTTTTTGTTTGTTTGTTTTGGTTTTTAGTGTTGGAGATTACATGTAGAGCTTAATTTATTTTCAGACAGAATTGCTAGGTTACTCATGCTGGGCTTGAACTTATGATCTTCCTGCTTCAGCCTCCTACAGTGCTGGGCTTAGAGGTGTGTACCACTAAATCCAGTGAGTGCCAACATGTTCTTTATCAAGATTTTTTTCTAGTGTTTCAGGCTGAGGATGAGTGCCTGTAGTCTTTACACCAAGCCTTGTTTTTTAGCCACTCCTCCCTTGAAATGTCCCCGTAAGCTACTAAACTTCTGTTTTTCTAAGTATAAATGGAAAGTAGGGAGTGTGATGGCGCTTCCGGTGAGTTTTGGGGCTAGGATGTATACTTACCAGTGGTCTTGCTGGCCACTCAGGGAGAGCAGCAAGCCCACTGAGCCTGCCCTGTTTGATTTTGCAGATTTTAGCTGAAGAGCTCTGCACGCCTCCAGACCCTGGTGCTGCGTTTATTGTGGTTGAATGTCCAGATGAAGGATTCATCCAGCCCATTTGTGACAATGCCACCTTTAAGAGGTAATGATGTGGGGTCTGTGGGTGGCAGAAACAAATGTTCATGTGCTTGCGGAAGCCAAGCCCAGCAGGGCCCCAAGGATTCAGGGGCTGAGCTGGGTCTCTGCGGAAGCTTGTGGTCCAGGTGTGAAGTCCATGTCTGTCCATCCTCTTGGCAGGATTTATCTCACTACTGGTAGTTGTACACGTAAAATAGAAAACATGGAAAACCACAGCCACCAAGGACTAGAGCATTCTTAAAGTTGTAAGTCTAGAATACATTCTAGAGCCATCTGAGTTCTAAATGACCATTATTTGTTTTGTTTTTGCATACATGAATTCCTTCACTTACCTACACCAAACCTAATGAGGTAGGGCAGAGTATTTTGAGACCATGTTTGTCAAGAGCTTATGTTAAGGGACAGAACTACAGCCTAGGAACATCCTCTGGGCCTGAGTGCCATTCTGTTTTGTCCCTTGGAAAAGATGGCCAGTTTTGTGACTCAGGTTTGATCCAGGGTAGACTCTGTGAGGCATGTTCTGATCCTTCTCCCAGGACACAGCACTCTGCGCACAGTCCCCATGGGTGTGTTTTTGTCCCGAGTTTGTGTCACTGCACGAGGCAAAGGCCTATTCGCTCTTCCTTTGTCCAGGTACCAAGGAGAGACCGATGCCCATGTGGCCATGGTGGTTCACATGGCCCCCGATTCTGTGCTTTTGGACAGCAGGTACCAGCAGTGGATGGCGAGGTATGGAGCCCGGCCTGCCGAACATGGGGCACACTTCTGGGTGGTGCTGTATCCCTCACAGTTCAGTGCTCTCTGCCTTCACTTCTGCACCTGCCGGCATTTTCTCTGAGAATCCTGCCTTAGGATTTCTGGACTTGCCCTTTGGTACTACTGTCTAGGAGAGAAACCACCGCTAGGTGGCGTGGTGTGTGTGTGCATCCCCCTCATGCAGGGCTCGATTTCACATCTTTTTATACCCTTCATGCTCTCCGTGGTGTCTGAACCAGAGAGCCTTCTTTTGGTCGATGGTGCCACGTGTTATCCTAAGTCAGAGACTTGCAAATATGAAAGCCACTGATCATTGACTGCCTCCTGTATGTCAGCCAGTGTGTTAATACTGGACATCTCATGTATCCTAGTCCTCCCAGCGTGCCTGTGAGATGGATGTTCTACATTAGGGTAATAACTGGGAAGTGAGAGTCCAGAGCCTAGTCCTCTGTTTTCAGCTTCAGGGCGGGGGGCATCTGTGGTGCCCTCAGATTGCTTGTTAGTGCCCCCCTTTCTCATCTCTGCATAGCTTCTTGCCCCATTCCTGAGGGTCTTGAGTCCTAACAGTCTGTTTTTCTCTTGTGAGTTTTCTTCTTGGACCCTACACTCCATGTTGTCTTCAGATCTCTATCTGAACATTCTAATTTTTCTTGGATTTTCTACCACTTTTTCCAGCACACCCCGGGGGCAGCTGTGGTAGGCAGAGAACACTGGACCTTGTGACGGAAGAAGCAGATAATGCCTGCCCACGTAGAAACTATTTGGGGCAAGTGAGAGATGTCTTTGAACACTCCCATCTGTGTTAGGCCTTCTGATCCACAGTGCTGCCCCTTGGGTGGTCTTGGTCCCTAATGGATGCATTCTGTGGTTGGTTTCACCCTAGGTTTGGGCCCAACACCCAGCACTTGATCCTGAATGAAAATTGTGCGTCGGTCCACAATCTTCGCAGCCACAAGATTCAAACGCAGCTCAACCTCATCCACCCAGACATCTTCCCTCTGCTCACCAGTTTCCACAGTAAGGTAATGTCCAGGACTGTCACGGGGAGCCCAGCTTTTGTCCTGTCGGCACTATTGAGCATGTTCTCATCTCTTCTAGGAGGAAGGCCCGGCCCTCAGCGTGCCCACTGTCCGGGGCGAATGCCTGCTCAAGTATCAGCTCCGGCCCAGGCAAGAGTGGCAGAGGTCTGTGCCATTCTGAACCAGCACAGTTGTCTAGGTTGGGCAGACAGCATTTTGGTAAATAGCCAGGTAGTGCATGTTTCAAGACCTGTGGGGCCATGTGGCCTTTGTTGTAAGAACTCTGCTCTGCCCTCATACCACAGGAGAGGCTTAGACAGTATGTAACGGTGTGGGTGTGAGCCTCATCCTAGTTTGGGTAAGGTTGGAAGACTTGGGACCAGTGATTATGTTTTTCAGGAATTGTTCTCCATGATAATAGTGATAGTGATGATCGTTTTGCAGTATAAGAAGTGTTTGCTGAAGGAAGCCACCGGTCATCTTGTCACATAGAGAAAGGGACTTAACAATATATTTTTACAGTGGACTAAGTGCCTGCTTAGGCAAACTCAGGGACAGGGTTTTGACCCTGGAACCACATGCTGCTCCAACCTTGCACCTAGGTGCCCTGAGCCACTGAGTCTGGGCATGGTGGTGCAAACCTATAATCCCAGCTCTGGGGAGGCTGAAAACAGGAAGATCACTAGAGTCCAAGCTGCATAGTGGGACCCTTTAAAAAATACATTTTTAAAAAAGTTGTATTTTTAAGTTTATATATGGGGGTGTATTTAAAATATGTGTATGTGAACTTATGACTTGGTTTTTGTCAGTTTTTAAATATATCTTTAGTGTCCAGTAGTGGGTTTTATTGGTACTTCAGTTGTAGGTATTGACTCCTTCACTCATGCCATGAGGAGCTCAAACTGTTCAGATGTTTCCAATTTTTGTTGTCTTAATGAAAAAATAAATGTCTTGTATGTAAGTCTTGGAATAGAACTCCGTCCCTGATGGCAATTTATGCATGTGAGATTGTCAGGTCATAGTGCGACTGTTCTTCATGCCCTCGTAACTCTATACTGCTGTCCAGAGAGCTTCTTGCCAGTGTTCTTCAGCCAGGAGAGTGAAAAGTGCTCCACAATTTTATTTTACATTATGAGCTCTGAATCTGGAGTCATTTAAGTTTCCTGGCCACCGCACAGCGTTGGTATGAAGAAAGCCCGTGATCCGGGCTGTGGCCAGGCGTGGTGTGCAGTTGCACTTGGCTCATGCAGTTGGTGGTGGTGTGCACTTGCACTTGGCTTGGGCGCCTCTACGGTAGGGGGACCCGGCCCCCAGGCTTCTCCTGTCAGCACCTGCCAGCAACTCACGTTGTGCTTGGAAGACTTCCAGTTCGGTGTCCACCCCAGACCTGTTGAAATAGAATCTTGAGAGTCGGCTTCAGTCTTCCTTCTTAGGTTCCTGGTGATTTTAAGAGCCGTTAGTCTCGGTGTTGCTGCCCAGTGTAGTAGGACAGCGAGGCTAGCATTACCAGTATGAGCGTTATCAGGCTCCTTGCAGAGCTCCTGAGTTGGTTCTGCATTTTGCCAAGGTTCCCAGCAATCAGCTCTGTGTACTTGGTTTGAAAGTCACTCTTTAGGACTCAGATCTTCAGCAGGTGCCACCTGGCAATGTCCAGAGGCACTTTTGGCCATTACTGTGTGGGATGGAGTAGTGGTCAGAATAGGACAGCTCCCACCACAAATGCTCATCTGGGCCTGAGTATCAGTAGTGCCCAGTTGTCTGGCGTTGAGGCTGAGAGATGCTCCGCGGAACTTGAGCTCTTCAGAGTCCATTCTGAGATACCCCACATAGCTGAGCAAGGTTCCAGAGGCAACCAGGCTTGGCCTGACAGAAGGCTTGGCATATGGTCCGCTTGAACTGATGCTAGATATCCGAGCCAGCACTCGGTGAGCCCAAACACCCCATTTTGGTCACTCCGTATGCCTCTTTCTTTGTAGGGATGCCATTATTACCTGCAACCCTGATGAATTCATAGCCGAGGCTCTGGAGCTCCCCAATTTCCAGGAGAGTGTGCAGGAGTACAGGAAGAGTGAACAGGATGGCCTGGCCCCCACAGGTGAGTAGGAGACCACAGGGCAACCTTCTCCTAGGACTTCGCCAGTTGCTGTGGACCTCGCAGCACTGAGCAGGGTGTTCACGAGGCATGTTCTAACATGTTCATTTGTATTAGCCTGGGCTTCTGTACTCTGTCTGCATTAGTTACAGCCTTTAGGGTAAGGTGGTAGAGTTTGGGAATTCCACAGCTGCATCCCATCCAACACTGATTTTGAGCTGGTGCCCAGGGCTTTTTGCAGCGTGCGTGTGTGCATTGTTTTTGGGATCCTCTGTGGGATCCTGCGGAGAGATCTGAATGTACACTGCTTTTAGAGGGCCGGTCCCACGGTTGCTTTTAAGTGTGCACAACGTACCTGGCCAGCTCAGTCCTTTGTTGAGTTTTCCTCACCCGTTGGAATAGTACTGAATTTTTTATTTTTTATTTTTTTTGTCTTTGAGACAGAGTTTTGCTCTTTAGTTTAGGCTGCCCTCGAACTCTCCGTGATGCTCCTGCCATAGCCTCCCCAGTGCTGGGCTTACAGGTGTGCACTACCATGCTCAGCTAATAGTTAACTGAATTTTGTGACCTCTGTGCTTACTGGTTTTTCTGGTATTATTTTTAACCAGTAATATCCAAAGAGAATGCCATGGCGTGGGGTTTTAATTTAGCCAAATGACTTTTCACCAGGCATGCCTGCCCCTGTGGAGGTCAGCAGTTGGCAGGCCACAGAGGTGGGCAGACCGTCTCCGCTTCCACCCATATGTGTTTTGGGAAGACTGACTTCCCATCATTCCTTGCTCTGTGCATGATTGATCGGCTGTCTGATGTGTAAGTTAAAGACCCACTGAGCTTGGGGATCCTTCCAGACACACATAAGGACCTATCGGGCCAGGTTAGGTTGAGCAAAGGACACTGACATCACTCAGCTCCCTGGATTTGACTTCTGGTTCTGCTTCTTCCCTTGTCTGTGGAGACCTGGCCCTCTGCACTGTAAAGTTGCTGAGTGGCACAGGCTGGCCACGAACGCATGATCTTCCTGTCTCAGAGCCCAGGTGGTGGGAGGACAGGTGTACACCAGCACATGGACCAGGCTATAGTAATTTTTTTGTTTTGTTTTTGTAAAGGACTGTAAACTGTATTTGCTCTCCTTTCCTGTACACCTCTTTCTTGGCAAACACTTTGATGGTCTCACACTGATGAGGAAACCCTTCTTGGGAAGGTAGATGCCAAGGCCCCCCAGGGTCCCTCCTGGAAGCAAGGACTAACTGCCTTGCTTGCCTCTCAGAGCTAAATGCTGGCTCACTGTTTGAGGCTGTAGAAAGGAAAAAGTCCCACAACTCCCACCGGACACGCTGGCTCAGACAACAGGCTTTTAGTGCTCTAAAGTTTTTCTGTATTAGCCTGCTCAGTGTAGGACAACTGTTGTTTGAAAAGTAAGTGTTGACTTATTCTTGACTTCCTGATGCAGAAAAGTGGACTATTGTGTACGCATTTTCCACAGAGAAAAAAAAACAGTATCCAGAAATCATCTTCCTTGGAACTGGGTCTGCCATCCCTATGAAGATTCGGAATGTCAGTGCCACACTTGTCAACATAAGGTAGTACTGCTTCTTGCCAACAGCCATCTGTCATAGAGCACACTTACTTTTCAAACAAAAGTTCTGTTCCACTCACAAGGTTAATAATTGTCCATTATCTTGGAGGATGAGTAATGGGCCTTATTCCCTTCTGTTAACTTCCTTCTGGGAATTAGCAAAACCCACCCCATTGTGATTTTTTATAAAAGAAAAAAGAGCTAATACTACTGTCTGATTTACCCTTGCTAAGAAAGTCTCATTTAATTTTCCCACTAGTTCTATGAAGTGGTAAAGAATCTTACTAATTGGTAAACTGATACTTAGAGATTCCTTTTTCTGTGAATCCACAGCACGGTAAATAGCAAGGCTAAAGTTTGAACTGGTATTTTGTATTGTCCCTCTAACTTCTCACTGCTGGCGTGTTAAAAGTGTTGCATACATTGATTTCATGTTCATCTGCTTTATTAGATTCCCTTGAACATTTTTTCTTTTAGTTGATGTTTTGGGTTTGCTTGGGGGTCATTTATCTGCAGAGAGATAGAGGTCTTAATCACTGGCCTTATAAAATGCAGATGGTACCTCTGCAGATAGGAGAAAGGAAGACTGCAGTTCCGGGGTAGTTTAAATTTCACTTTGTCATCTTCGATGCTAGTGATGAAGTAATCACCAAATCGTGCGGTAAATGCCCACAGCGATAGGATGTACCCGAGACCATGACTGAGAAATGTTGGGGTGATCGCCAGCTTGCTTGCCACATACTGGCTTTCTACAGAGAGGACAGACTTAACTACTTTATGGTTAAATTAACTGGCCTTTTATATAAGCTCCTCAAAAAGAAGGTATGAGAGGTTATAGAAAATGGAAATTTCCCCAGTCTCCACTTGTTCTCCACTAAACAAGCATTCTGCAAAGCCTTTCTGGTTGGGGTGAGTCTCTCACTCTTCTTCCATAGCCCTGACAAGTCTCTGCTCCTGGACTGTGGTGAAGGCACATTTGGGCAGCTGTGTCGTCATTACGGAGGTGATGTGGACAGGGTCCTGGGCAGCCTTGCTGCTGTGTTTGTATCCCATCTCCACGCAGACCACCACACGGTGAGTGTAGGGTCAGACCCAGAGTGCCATCCTACATGGAGGTGCTGTCTTCCCTCTTCCAAACTTGTGGGGAGTCTTTGCTAGGAAAGGGCCTTTTATAAAACCCTAGTGCCAAGCAAAAATGCCTCATCCCTGCACTTGCATTTTCATGTGACAGTACAGATGTGGCTTCTCCCACTCTTGAATCTTGCCTTTTTCGCAGCCTCCTGGAAGAAACTAGTCAGATATGTGAGAGGTGGCTCTGAGGCCTTTACTTTGGGCAGCCCTAGGGGCTCCTGTGTCCCAGTCTAACATGGCCATGTTGCTGTCTTGTCTCTCATGTTTCATGTGTCAGCAGGGGCTACATCCCTACCTTGGCCCTGCTAGAGGGCTGGTGCCAGGCTAGAGAGATGAAGGAATTTTGTAAGACACAACTCAGCATAGTGGAGAAGACATTGAATGTACACCTGGCTGATCAGTACTTGTTTTTCCCTCCCAGGGTTTGCTGAACATTCTGCTGCAGAGGGAGCGTGCTTTGGTAAGTACAGAACTTCAGTGACATTTTGAGTGTCATTGGTTTTCACATGAGCCTAACCTCCTGCCCCTCCAAATTCTTTTTTTTACTGACATGTTCCTCCGTGGACTCAGCACTCGGATCTCATTGTTTCAGGCATCTCTGGGAAAGTCCTTCCACCCTTTGCTGGTGGTAGCCCCCACCCAGCTCAGACCGTGGCTGCAGCAGTACCACAACCAGTGTCAGGAGATTCTGCACCACGTCAGGTGGGTGTCCATAGCTGCCTGACTGCAGGCTGCCGCCTTCACTGCCACTGTCTCCAGAAATTCAAGGTTGACATCAGGACAATTAACACTGTCCCCGGCAGCCTTGGCCTTGTTTGCTTGCCTTGAACCATTTCTTCCCCATCCTTGCTTACTTCTATACTGCTTTCTAGACTTGGGCTGGGATATCTTCATGAGATAGTTTCAGGGCCAGGCACCCAAATAATGGCTAGCTCAGCCTGTCCATTCGAGGCAGCTAGATGAGAAGGGACTGGCCCCATGTCACAGGAAGGCAGCCCATCCACCCAGACAGCTGTGGTCGATACAGCCCACACAATGGCGCATCGCCTGTTAGATTTCTTTAGCGAACTGAAGAGTGGACTTGGCTTTTTGCTTCCTGATTTTAGTGACTGCAATTTTAATTTTTCCTTAAGAATAATTGGAGGCTCTTGCTAAATATCTGAATTTTGATTCTAGGTGTTAAATGATCTTTTAAAAAATGTTCAGTATAATTTTTTAAATGTTTTATCTTGGCAGTTTGATTCCTGCCAAATGCCTTCAGAAAGGGGTGGAAGCCTCCGACCCCACCAATGGAAGTCTCATCAGTTTACTGTTGGAGGCATGTGACTTGAAAGAGGTAAGGGCCTTGGGCTGTGGGTAGTGGAGACAGGGACAGCAAGAGCGAGCTCCCCAGTGCTGCTCCTTCAGTTTCAGACCTGCCTGGTCCGGCACTGTAAGCACGCCTTTGGTTGTGCACTGGTGCACACGTCCGGCTGGAAAGTGGTGTACTCAGGGGATACCATGCCCTGTGAAGCTTTGGTCCAGATGGGTGAGTAGAGGAACAAATGGCCACGTGGGGCTTTGTGTAGCTGGCGGGGCCTGTGGACACATCTGTAGATGCTCTGGCTGTCTTCCTGATGTTCAGCTAAGCTGCAGGGTCCAGGGCGCAGAGCATTTCTGGATCTGGACACAGCTGTGATCCTTGGCCACATGCTGCTTTGCCAGGACTGCACCTTGATGGCCGTTTTTCTCCCCAGGGAAAGATGCCACTCTCCTGATCCATGAGGCCACTCTGGAGGATGGCTTGGAGGAGGAGGCAGTGGAAAAGACACATAGGTAGCAAAGGGTATGGTTAGCTGCCCTGTTAGCCAAGCCCAAGCTTGCTCTGGCTTTCTCTCAGGTGTGCTCCCTAATTGGAGTCTGACAGCCAGCAGACTGGGTAGCGTAAAGAGGTGCCAGTTGAGGATTCCCCTTGGCTTCCCCCGGGTGCTCTGGGCATTGCGAGGGCCAGAGTACAGTCTTGCCCTTGGCTCAGTGCAGCTGTGTCATGTTTGCCCTCAGCACCACCTCCCAAGCTATTGGTGTGGGCATGCGCATGAATTCGGGCTTTATCATGCTGAACCACTTCAGCCAGCGGTACGCCAAGATACCCCTCTTCAGCCCTGACTTCAATGACAAAGTTGGAATCGCCTTTGACCACATGAAGGTCCGTGTACTCTGTGGCTGTGAGGGTTGGGAACCTGACAGGGAGATACGGGCCTCCCTTCCTCTCATTTCCTGTTTTGCTCAGCCCTCCCTGCCTTCTCCAGCTAGGAGCTTCTCCCCATCGCTCAGACGGGATACCTTCCTCCTACAAGGACCTTCTAGATGTTGGTCTCAGGTTTACTGCTTGAACCATTCCCATAACCGTGCCACTGCCACTCCATGCAGCCTGTGAGATTGGTTCTTGAGGCGCACAGGCGGTAGAGCCAGGCCTGCCCTTTTGGCCTTCTTTGGGCCCATTTGGTTTTGTTACTCCTAGCAGGGAGGTGGGGGGCTTTCCTTCTCTCTCCATCTACCCTTCCAGCACTCGTTTCTTAAGCTGTGGTGCGCTGACTGGCCAGAGGGTATGGGAGGAATGAGAGCTGGTTTCTGTTCTCTAAGCAATCTGGGTACTCTGAGTGCCTTTCTCTACCTTCGCCCTCTGAGGCCTGTCCCTGTCCTCTTTCTGGCCTTCCAGGTCTGCTTTGGAGACTTTCCAACAGTGCCCAAGCTGATTCCACCCCTGAAAGCCCTGTTTGCTGAGGACATTGAGGAGATGGTAGAGCGCAAGGAGAAGCGAGAACTGCGGCTGGTGCGCGCAGCCCTCTCTCAGCATGTGGCCAGCAGCCCGGAACACAGGGAGCCCCTGCCGAAGAGGGCCCAAGTAGAGGAGCCCCAGAGCCCACAGAGCAAGAAGGCCAGAGCCTAGTGAAGGTCTGGACCCACCCCGAACCCTGAAGTCTGTATGCCTTGCACCCGCACATGCTCCTCATCCTGCCAGGAGCAAGAGCAGGAGCTGGCAGAAGGCAAGTCACGGTCTGTGTAGCTGTGCTGTGTCCTGGGCTCTGGGCAGCACCAGCCTTCCAGATACGTCTTTTGGCTGGGCCTGGCACACTGCAGGATGTGTGACTGCATTAAGCATGAGGCAGATAGAACCACAACTCCACAAGTCAGTTTTTAAAGTTATGGAAATATGAGTGGCACCCCTTGCCTACTAGTGAAGTGTTTTCCTCAGAGATAAGCCAAGTCACAGGGGAATGCTGGATCAAAGTGTCCCAGACTCAAGGATTACAATTTCCAAAGAATCAGGTGCGATAAAGATTGTGTTTGGAATTACAAGGTTTTCAGCTTCATCTTGGCACTGCTTCGCAGCAGTCTCCTACCTGCCAGGGGCCTAGAAGAGCTTTGCAGACAGTGAGAATCTTGGAGCCTGTCCCTAGAGAGCTACCAGCTCTTTAATAGCTGAGTCTTGACAGAAGTCCAGCTCATGGCACTGGCTTTATACATCCGGGGAGAGCTAGGCCAGTTCAGTGGATCAGGGAGTATGCTTCCTTATCTCTTGAGAAAATGAAATTCTACCTTTGGAAACACTGGAAAATGTTCACAGTGGGCTGCAGGATTTTAAGAGGTTAGTGCTTGAAGTCTAGGAGCATTTTCAGAGTTGAATCTACTATCTGCATGTTCTCCCTACATAGGAGAAGATGGGAAGAACTTTAGAAAAACAGGTGACAAGAGCAAGGATAGCCTTCTTTCCCTAGTGACCTTCAGCCTTCCCCTAACAGTGCAGGAGATTGGTAACTGTCCCATGGCTTCACTCAAATGAGAACATGTGCCAAGCTTCGGGATAATAAATCTATTTTAATAACATTACTTTTGACAACGATTTTTACATGTATTTAAAGGTAACTTTCAACCCCTGGGCTCCCTTACAAAGTGGGGATTGAACTGCCCTTGCCAGGAGGTGAGCAAAGCTGTAACATCAAAAGTCCTCAATCCCACTCTCAGAGAATGGTGGCTTTACACTGTGTTGGGAAAAATAACTAAGCATTTAAGTTTTTTCGTTGTGTACCTGTACATTGGTTTAGATTGAATGGCTCAAATTAAACAAATATAGAGAGATTTCGTATATACAAATATTATATCATGTATAGGTATATTATATCTATTTTAAAAGGATAAAATTTTAAACTTTGACTTTGCATGCATGGTCCAGATCTGTTTCTGACCCCTGTAACCCCGAAGTGCGGACGGCTCCTCAAGGCCTCCTGGTCCCCTCCCCAGCGCTGGATGGGACTAGATGAGAAGGGATGAGCCACAGATGCTGGTGCGCAAAGCAGGCCACAGCGCGGCCAGTCACTGGGCTGGCGCCTCCATAGGCTGGTTTCACACTTCTACCTGCTTTGGGTAACAGAATTATTGCTATTCCGCTTTCGCCTCTAGAAAGAACAGACAGTTACTTTCAGATGCCTGATGTGTTTGGGGCATGGGGCACTACTTTGGGCACTTCAGACATGGTCAAGGCCCTCTTTAAGTTCAGAAGTACAAGGTGATGCGTGAAGGGAGCCTTTAGTCATGTGGGGAGGGGAATGGAACTGTAAGTGAAGCCATGTACTCTGGAGCCCTCTGACTAAGGGTGACCTCAAAAAGGTTTTCCTGGGCTGGCCCACCCCTGCACAGCAGACAAAAACAGTGCCCAGGACTTCTGGATTTCTTCCTCCAGTCCAGCTGCAGGTGAGGAGTCCCCCTCCGCACACACCTTTCTTTCTGGCCCATTAGATACTACAGGACCACAGGTGTCCCTGGCAGGGCAGCATCCCTCAGGTGTGACCAGGGAGTGTAATCCTTTCCTGTTCCCCTACATCACATTTCTGACAAGCCCTTGGGCAGAGGTGGGTGCTGCTTGGCATGGAGGCTGAGAATGGATTGAAATAGGCACAATGTCAAAAGGCAAAGGTCAAACAAAAGGCCAAAGTCACCACCCAAAAGGAACAAACAAAATCTGCACCACCTACATTTGCCACACAGACCAGAGATGGCAATTTTATGCCAAACTCCAACCTCACGTTGGAAGTGACAGGAAAGAGCCAATGAAGAACACTTGGCAAGCTCAGGGACCCCGCTCCTGGCGGTGTGTCCCGGGGCCGTGTCTGTATGTACACGCGGATCAGGTGGGAGCCCATCACAGGGCAGTGCTCTCAGATTCCTCCTCCGAGTCCCTCTTGTCGGTCACCGAGTGTCGCCGTGTGTGCTCCAGGGGGCTCAGGCGCAGTGTCGATCCCAGCTCTATGTGGATGGAGGGAATATCAAAGTGGACAAGATCTGCAAGTGGCAGAGAGAAAGGGAGGTGAAGGGGCTTCCAGCTGAGGGGCTAATGGCAGGCAAATGGTTAGCCTTAGGAAGTAGGGATGGGTTGGTCATTCTAGGTTGAGTCGCTTAGAGCTCGGTCACTCACAGTACCACCCAGGTTGGGTCTGCTTTGCTTCTGCTGTGAAGGCTGGGGGAACCAAAGCCTCCAAGTCCCGCTGCAGCAGCTCAGGGTTCAGCCCAAAGGAAAAAGGGATGACACTGCACTTAACTCTCAGTAAGACCTGTGTGTTGCAGGCAGGGCTCAGTAAGTACTTTTGGGGACCTAGCTCAGACTCCCATTAATTCTCCCAGGGTCTTGGGCCAAGGGATGAAACTGGAGGGTAAATGGAAAAGGTCAGTCCTCACTCTGAAACATGCAGCAGATAGAGCCAGAGGGACCTTCCTTGGGATCCTGCTGCTAGCTGGAGTAACCTTGATTCCCTGTTTGCAGAAAAAACACCTCTTCTGGCCACATCCTTATTAGGAGCACTTCCTGCGAAGATAAGCAGGAAGAATACCAGAAGTAACCCAGCTCAACATCTGTGGACATCTGTGAGTTAATACAGACAAGACAGAGGTCCTAAGAGCCAGCAGTGTAGGACAAAGAAAGCTCCAGCGGACAGATCCCCCCTGGGATCGGCCCTGGAGCTGCAGCTGCTGCCCAGCTGGGGCCCAGAAGGCCAACTGGCCGAAGCCCTGGGGCCTGTAGGTGAGCAGAGTGTGGTGGAGGCCGGATTCTTTGCTTCTGGTACCATCGTTTCCCTGTGCTCAGTTTCTGGACCTCACTTAGCCATGCTTCTCACAGAGGCCACAGTTCCCACTTCAGGTGCCAGAGGATGGCAACCTCACAAGGGAGTAGCTCTGGCCCACGGTGGGAAGATGGGCTTTTGCTTTTCTTTTTTTGTAAAGCAAATGTTCAGACTGAGGAATATGGTACTGACTGTACAGACATGAACTTGGACATTGTCCTGAAAGACATTATACAGACATAGAAGCTCCCGCTTTCACCCAGACAGTCCTCAAAATGTCATTCCAGCCTGACTTCAACTTGCTGCCTGAGGGAAGATTTTAAGGGTCAGCTCAGGCAGTGCCATTTGCACCCCACCAGTCCCCAGCAGGTGGCCCTCAAGCCTTGAAGAATGTCTATGCGCTGGCCTTCCTCTGCAGACATGGGGCTGTGCTCACGTGGGGCCACCCACCAGGACATGTTTCCTACAGGGTCCACAGTGACAGTGTGGCCTTGGACAAGCTTCTTAGCTACCCTGTGCTTCAGCAGGCACATGGGAGTAACAGGAGTGGTGAGGAGTGCAGACGTCCCACAGAGGACCCCGCAGGGAAGCGGGACACTCAGAAGAACTGGCTTTAGGGGCGATGCTCACGCCCAGTTGCACTCTTGTGTAAAGGGGGGCAGGGATTTTACTGTGCACGGTGGCTCTGAGCATGACTGGTAGGCCTACCAGGGGCCATCAGGTGCCCTGCCACTAGTCTCAGTAGGGTCGTGTACCAAACTGAGGGGGGCCCCATTAAATACAGCCTATCCTACTGGGGCTAGAACACCTTATTTCTCTGATTTCTTTCAGGTTCTTGTCTCTGGTTTTAGCTTTTGACATTTATTCTTATGGGGGATGAGATTAGGTAGATAGTGACAAAATGTTACTGGGTGGGAAAGAAAAGATCTGGCTAGCTATTATGTGGTGGGGAAGGATGGATTCTAAAACGATGGCTTCTTCAGGATTTTAGCCTAGACAAACATAGGCATTGAAATTTGGGCCTGATGGGATTGCTGGTGGGCAGGGCCACAGACTGCAGCAGTGGACTCCATGTGGACCACACTAGGTGAATCCTCTCCTGGGGACAGATTCCTGAGCAGAGGTGCACTGGTTCCAGGGGATTGGGCAGAAAAGCTTCCAGTGGATATATCCTAAGAAAAATAGATTTGTCACTTGCAAATCTAATGTAGGGAATGATGTGGGTGGGGCTGAAACCAGGTGACTGGAGAGAGGTGGGAAAGAAGAGCTAAGACATTTGCTCGGTGCCTCCCTCAGGTCCTTCCAATGAAAAGAAGAGAAAAAGGCCTGTGATATCCAGAAACCAAATAAGCTCTTAGACAGCTCATCCTTGCTGAGGGTGGGGAAGGCTGGAGAGAGAGGCAGCCATGCGGTTGGTTGGTCTGAGCCACGTGCAGAAAGGAGGTTGCTGGGGGCAGGCAGGCGGCTGGGGCGGCTGGCCTGGCTGCAGGGAGTGGAGGGAGGTGAGGCTGGGGCCAGCTTACCCTGAAAATCCCCCTCACACGTATCCACACTGCGTCACTCATGTCAAACAGCTGCAAGAACACAATGATAGGATTCGGAGAGAGGAATAAACATGAAACACGAATGTAACAGAAACACTGGGCCAAGTGTCACAGTTCCCAGTCGGCCACACTCTGAAAGCATTACAGATTCTACACTGGCTTGGAGACCCGCATGTGTGCACAAACAATGGTATGCCACCAATAGAACGTTAGACAAAATGGGATGGGGGCCCAGGGGCGCCTTAAAGCCACCAGGCAGAAAACCATTCTGTCACAAGCGGTAGGAGCGCTGTCCCTCCCTGCCTTCTCTAGCCCCCTCTGGCCCCGGAGGTTCTCATTCTGCTCTTTTCTGCCTCTCCAGTGACATCCTCTGCTCATTCCTGCTGTGGGCAGCAGGCAGTTAACAGACTTGCTGCGCTGGAACCTTGCTGAGAGCTACCCGGGCAGCTGTTGCCTCTCGCGAGGGCAGCAGTGGCCTGTGCCCTTGTCACAGCCCACTCGGGAAACCAGCATCACCCTAGAAACTGCCAGCAGGGCATGATGCTGTCACTTCTCAGGAAGGTCTGTCCTTAATTATTCATTAAGCCTCAGGGTAGATGACAGTAGCTACACATTCAACATTAATCACATCCAAAAATAGAGAAGCCAAATCACCAGACGGCTCTTTCCCATAATATTGAAATTTCCTGACCCATCACAAACACTTGTAAATTTGACTAGCATTTTTATTGGCAGCAAGGAGCCAGATTCCACCAGCCCCTGGCTTCCATCTCATCTAGGAAAGAAAATCTTTTTTTGGAGGACATACCTTAGGGAAAAGGACAGAGTGTGTGTGAGTGCGCATCAGGGCACCCTAGGACCTAGCACATTTTCTGTAATGTACCGTGTGTTTGAAAAATATATTTAAATTTTAAAAAATTTATTAAAGACACACTGCCATCAATTACCCTGAAAAAGCTCCTCCTCGCTTCAAACACCTAGCCCAACATTCTTGCCACTTTCTGAAGACTGAGGAAGTCCCCTTTCTTGAATGTCTCTAGTTGTGCTGTCATGGCTGCCTTGATACCCTGATTGATTCAAAGTGTGCATCTTTCATGGTCATTTTGACTTGGGAGAAGAGCCAGAAGCCAGAGTGCCAGATATGTTGAATAAGCTGGATGCGGACACCAGCTGCTCCTGAGCATCATCCACTGCATTACTGATCCAATCTTGTAGACACGAAAGAGGACTTCCAGAACTGCTTCAGAAACTGCAAACGATAAGCGTACCTGAAGCCAAAGAGAGTGCTTTGAAGGGTCCTAAGGGCATTGTGTCTTTTGCTATAATACATTTTTAGAAATTTAAATATTTGCCACGTAGTATGAGATTGATGTATGTGGATATATGGTTTAGTTGGTTCTTGTTTGTTTCTCGTATTGGTGCCTGAACTGAGGACCTTGTATGTGCGAAGCACATACTCCATCCCTTAGCTGTACCCTCCGGGTATCGGTTTATGTGATGGATATATGAAAATTAATGTGTGTGGATGTGTGGGTGGTGTGTATGCATGTGCAGGGGATGTGTGGCATATCTACCATGTGTATATCTGTGATATGTGTGCTGTATGTTATGTGTGGCACATGTGCAGTATGTGTGTGTGGTGTATGTGGTGATACATAGTACATGTGGTATATGCACAGTGAGTGTGAAAGTGTGTACGTGTGGTACATATGTGCTGTGTATGCATGTGCTATGTGTGGGTAGTATGTATATATACATGATAAGTGTGTGTATGTGTGTTTATTCCACCCCCAAACGCCTTCACCTTGTGTTATCTGATGCAGTATTCAACAGATGTGCCTGACTCTGCCCTGTGCTGAATGGGCTCGTTCTCTTCCAAGATGCAGCACCACATTCTGCCTGTCTCCCTGAATAAGGAAAATGTCCAACGAGCTTTAGCATCTACAAGTCTGGCCTGGACTTCATAATCTTTTGTGGTCAAAGTGTCTGGGAGATACTTCAAAAGTATCTGCCCTGAGGAATAGAGTTTTGCTACAATTCGAAATGTTTTCTTGGGAGAAGACAGATCCTTTTTATTTTTAAATTTGAAGCAAACCTTCTATGTCATGGTGGGTTGCTGGAGGAATCGGGTGGAAAGGGGAGGGAGAAAGGCGCACACAGATCTTTTCTGAAAAGGACTCTTTTTCTAAATATACAAGTAGAAACACTTTTTTCAAGACTTATAGTGGTAGCTCGACTGATGAACTTGATTCTTTCCATGATTTTGGTTGCAGACTTGAGTTGGAGGGGAACCAAATCAAATCCAAGGGGTAGGCTCAATCTTCACTTTATGGGAAATCTGATTTGGTTCTCGTCCAGTTCAGTTTGCGACCAGAATCAGAGTCAAGTTTGTGAAGAAACAGTTTTGGTTCTTACCCCCTCTTTTCCAAGCATGCCTTTGTACCTGCTCGCTGCTTGGGCTCGGTCCTGGGGAGCCCAAATCCAGCTGTTCTGTGATCATAAACAGTTTCCAGCTCACCTGAAGCCCAACTCCAAAGGGGCAAGGGTGCGCAACCCCCAAATTAGGACCCGAAACAGCCCTTGGCTGGTGGGCTCAGCTATATCCAGTGAAGCATCTCCTGCCTCACAATTTGATTCCACTCTCTACTGTAAATTTCAAGACATCACTGTGCAGGCAGCCCACAGCATCAGCATGGCCACCTCATGGTGAATGGGCGTTTGTGAACTGGAGTGATCAGTCCCTCCCCAACACCTGCAGCTAAGCTTCACAGGGAAGCTCGAGGGCCCATGGCCTAGTTACCTGTAGACATGCTCTCCCCTGGGGACATGCCGTCCAGCATGGGGTGCTCTGTGGACTGAGGGCTGGAGGCCGAGAGGCTGACTGTGGGAGGCTGAGGAGGTGGCAGGGTAGGTCTCTGCCGGGGCTTCGGGGTGGGCCGAGATTTGGCTAAAGTGCTTGTGAAAACAGAAGGAGAGGCCAGAGGAGGAGCCGCAGCTGGGGAGAGCTGGCCTGAGGCCAAGGAGTACCCTGGAGGGTAACTGAGTCCGTAGGGTGATGGGGTGCTCGGTGGAGTTGGAGACAGGCTGATCGGGGAAGGCTGGCCAGTGGACTGGTCAGTGATAGCCCCCGGCTGGCCAAAGGGGACCTTGGGTGGAATTGGTGCAAGCTTCTTTGAAACTGAAAGAGAAAACAGCACAACAGAACAGAGGCTGTTAACTGAGGCCTGCCAGCATGGTCTATTAGCACACCCTTCTCAGCTAACAGGGCTCACAACCTCGCCACCCCACCTCCCTGCCCCCAGCCTCCTGCTGCCTAGCAAGCCGCCAATATAGTGTTTAAAATGAACCTGGAACTGTAAGTTTTCCTATCTTTCCATCTGTTAGCTAATCTCTCCTCCTCTCTTCTGGATTCCTGCCAGTCTATACACACACACCCAGCCAAAGTGGGGAACAAATCTTCCAACCACAGGGGTGGGCTCAGTTCCCAGTGGAAAAAGATGCCACCGCTATCCTCTGGGATGCAGTGAGGCTCGGAGGCTCAAGTTCAAGCTGTTGCTGTGGACCCCTAGCTCGGGGCAAGTCCTGGGGACATGAAGCTGAGTCTGTCGCACCTGCACAGTGGGGTCTGGCTTCCAGCCTTGGCGTGCGGGCGGCTCCTCTGGTCGTGGACACCTCCTGCCTCCCTTCCTTCATGTGCTCTGCCTCCAGCCTGTGCACTTGCCTCACAGGCTCTTTCTTCTTTATTTTTTATAATTGGCATATTTGTACTTATTTATGGGACCTAATACTGTGAGTCATCACATGTATACAATGCATAATGATCAAATCACAGTAATTAGCATTTCCATCTTCTCAAATGTTATCATTTCTATGTGCTGGAAACTTTCCAACTCTTTTTCCCTAGTTATTTCAGAATGTGTAACTAATTGCTACAGGCGCTAGTTACGCAACTGTGATCCTGACTGCTACGACTGCTCCCCCTTCTGCCCCACAAGTTGTTTCGGTACTTGTTACCCACGCACTCGCCTCCAGCCCTTTCCTTCTGCCATCCCCTCCTCAGGCTCTCATTACTTTTCCCCCTTCTTCTTCCAAGAATTGTACCTTTGGGCATAAGTATGGGCAGACTGACTGCAGTTTTACCCCCTCTGCCTCCTGTTGCAGCACTGGGATGGAATCTGGGGCCTCACACATGCTAGGCAAGCGCTCCTCCGCCGAGCGACCACCCCAGCCTGACTGCACTTTTAAAGCACATTGTGGCCTCAGCCTCTTCTGCATGGCCTTCATTTTCCTTCAGGTACTTAATCCCTCTGAAGGATGATACCTTGAATGGACAAGGAATTGGAAGAAAAAATGCAAAACATTCAGGAGCTCGACCTGCTGGGCAGACATCTTGAGAAAATGACCACCAATCTGTGAGAAGTAAGTGTCCGCTGGGTATGGATGCCACCAATTCTGGAAGACACTGCCTCTTGAGTGCTTATAGAGGTGTCAGGGCCTCTTCCGTTTCTGCTCTTCACACCCAACTGCCCACCCCTCCGTGGAACAAAACTATGCCATAACTGTCTCGTGTATTCCTTTGGCTCATACAGCCTGCGCTGGGGAAGCAGGAAGGACACAGTCCTCTAGGTCCTTCCAACACGGGCTCAGATTTCTACCTGCTATGTTGCCCAGAGCATTTTTTAAAAATTATTAATTTTTTAAAAGAATCTCTTCTAAATAACAGGAAGAATAGTATTTTTCTACTGCACTGTAATAATTAAATGGAATCATCTATGAAAGTGGCATGTAACCATGATCTATAATAAAACCACTTCATTTTCTAGTTCCATTTTCTACCTGTGTCTTGTGAGCATGGCCTGTGTTTGTTTCCCAGCAGCTGCTACGGCAGCTCTGGACAGTGCTTGGGCCACAGAATCTAGTCAGGCCCCTGGATGCAGAGCAAGTGCAGGCCTGCGCATCAGTGCCTGAGACTATGCCTTCTACCACATGAGCTGCCGGAGGGAGGAAACAGTGACTTCACCATGCCTGGGCTGCTAACACATCCGGGAAGAGACAGAACCACGGTATGATTGACTTGTAGGCACACAGTCAGAAAATGAAAGTGTCTAACGAATAAAAGCTACATGTCCCATTCATGGCAATGATGAATAATGGGAAAGAAAATTATGCCTCTCAAGTGCTAGCTCTGAGTTACTGAATGCCATTTGAGAAAGGTACCTGATCCATTTTAGGTGACGTGTCCTACATTCAAAAACTAACAGTGCTTCAAAAACTAAAAGAGACCAACATGTCACTGGTATTAGGAAGCTGACTGACCACAAGAAGACCTATGCAGCCTCCAATGGACAGACCAATGCTTAGCCTTTACTCCTATTTTTTTAATTATCTAAATTCACCCCTTCTTTGAAAAGCTGGGGAGGGGTTATAAACTGAGACATGCCAAAGAGCTGCAGTGTCTAGACCACCAGGGACCCTGCTGGTGCTGAGGGGAAGCGCTGGCATGCCAGAATCCTACCACCATTGCTTTGGTCCATTTCCTATTTAGTCTTAAATGCCCTTTGTTCTGGACCATCCACTCTATAACTTCTGAGTCTAGACAGGGCTCCCCATGTGTCCCACAGGGTCCTGATGTCCCCTGGCACAGCGGTGCTGTCTCTGTATCATAGCTGTACTCCTCTGGAAAGCACAGAACTCTGCACCTGGCCAGACCCAATACACATCCGTAGGATGCACAAGGCATGAGTGTGGGATAAACAAGATCAAAGGGCTGGGTGAAGACACACTAGGAAGAGGAACTGTCATGCATCTGGAGCTAGGAAGGCTGAACGTGGCCCTGACCAGGAGGTGCGGGTCAGAGAGACAAACTGGCCCTGCCTAACCAATCCTGGAATTAAAGCCAATCCTAGAAGTATGAAAGGTCTCAATGCAGAATAAAGTAAACGGTGTATGATTTTAGATGAGGGAAAGGCTTTGCTGGGGGATGACAGAGGCGGAAATAAATCAAAAAGGTCCAGATTGGTACACTTCAGTCAACTCTCCATTTATGACATGTCCCCCGGGGTACCTATAGCACTGGAGAGGGGTGTTCTGAAGACAGACAGTCACTGCTGCTGCCCTGGGGAGAGCCGCAATGCTCAGCAACTGCAAAACGGAAGTCTGGAAGGTCGGGACTTGTGGAAAACATGCTGCTGCCCTCCTCGCTGGCACTCTGAGGGATCCTGGGAGGAGACAGCTGAGCACCACCAGTGTGGGGGGAGGCAGCAGCTCATGTAGATGACCCCACACTGCTTTTTAAATAATGAAGATAGGGCCTGGCAAGGGCATGGAGGACACATGCCACTGTAGACAGTGACCTGTGCACCGGGGGAACCACGTGGAACAGGAGAGCATGGTGCTATATATGTCCCTCCTGCACATCATCTACTTTTTAGAAGAGCAAACTGCAGAAAAGTGACAAAAGGACTCACGCTGAGCTTGACTTTTCTTATGCTTAGACTGGGAATTGCTCTCTTAAGCCACATGATTTAATTTCTAAATAACCACACTAGTGAGGGCCGAGAGTCCCAACTGCTGCTTGCCTGGGCCTGACCTGAATGGAAGTGGTGACTCACCTTTCCGGAGGGTATGAGGGCTCTGGTCCGCAGGTGGCTGGCTGGGGCTGGTGCCCGGCTGTGTCCCTGGACAGGGTGTTCCCTGGCCAGAGCCTGGACTTCCTTTCTGCCCAGAGCCTGGAGATAATTCCTTGCTTTTGGCGGTGCTGAAACACAAGCACATAGGATGAGAGAGAGGCCCTGTGCTTAGTCACCTGGAGCACCAGGCTTGCCAGTGGGGACCTGCCCGTCTTCTGGTCATGCTCAACTCTACCTAGGCCCTGAGCTGTCTCCTTTCCTTATTTCAGCCTTTAAACATGCCCCACAAAGTGTCTCTTCTTAGAGCTCTGGTGGCTGGCTCAACTCTGCTCTGGTGCCTGGCACTCGCTGCCAGCATTCTCTTCACAACTCTGCCCTCATGGAGACTGGAATGATGTGAGCCCAGGCACTCCAAGCCTTCTTACTGCATCCTGTTGATAGTGTAGCAACTCTAGGATGCCCGGAAACAGGAACACCAAGGCACTCTCCTCCCTTCCATCTCTGTGGGACACGAGAGCCAAGAGGACTTCGGCATCTGTGTGCACAGTGAGGGCTGGTGCCGCCCAGCCCATGGCTGCAGGGTTCCAACTGCACATCATACCCCACGTAGGGGGCAGGTGGGGGGTGTTCTGGGTCCCATCCTCAAACTCAAGGTTGATACTGTGACCCTGTATGTAAGTCAGTTCACATCCCAATGCTTTAGTCCCGGATGGGGTGAGTGCCATAAAGGGACCCTGGTCTCCACCGGAACTTTGAGTTGATAAAGGGACCAGAGGATTCGTCCTTACTGCAAGGCTCCTCAGGTTCTCTGAGAAGAATAAAGTTCATGTGAGGAAACACTCTATTCAACTCTAGTGCACAGAACAAATGTGACAAATGCAGGGTGTCTTCCCATCTCCCTGCCAGTGGCCAACATGCCACCCCAGGAATAGTGCCCACTGCCCCAGCTACTTCCTCCTGGACATCTCAGGAAGTGCTCTGATGCTTGGAGCGTCCTGTCATCCTGGGTGAGTCTTCCCTCGGTTCTGAGTCTCTTAAGGCTTGAGGAAGGGGGCCTGAAAATTGCAATCTCCCTCAGTGGTTTTTTTTTTTTTTTCCCCTCACAAAACCAGTCATCCTATTTCTTCCTTAAATTTATTTAGAAAATCAAAATGTGACCATGGACAAAATACTGAAAGGAATACTCCATCCATGCCCACCAGGGTACACTGAGAAAGACTGCGAGCAGAAGACTGGGCTAGAAGAAGAAATAACATCCACCACAAGTAGTTTTCCCATCAGGAGGGGAGAGGAGAAGAGGGAAAGAGAGGGGAGAAAAGGAGGGAAAGAGAGGGCAGGCAAAGCAGCTACATTCAAGGTGGTGGTATTTTTCCTTGTAGGATAAGCTCTAGACCTAACAAATTCTCCAGAGAAAAGAGAAAAGTCATTTTATTCAGAAGGACCAGAAGAGCAAAAATTTCTTTCTCTATTCTGTTAAAGAAAAGTAAAAGCACAAAACCCTTATGTCTGTCAGCCTGGACAAAGATTCACTTTTCACCCTTCCTTAGTTTCAGAGTCATTAGGCACCAGATCTGTGTCAAACATCTATTTCCGCTTCTACCCATCTCTGTCATGATCCTTAAAACACTCACCCAAAGAAAACGCCAAATAAGCAAACCAAAAAACTGCTTTTTCAGGAATCGTGGACTCTCCTTTCTTCCTGTGCTAGGGTAAGCCATCTATCCAGGAATCAAAGGACTGGCTCTTTCTGTCCTCTCCCACTGCTATACTTCCCAGCACAGGAGCAAGTATTTACCTACGGAACCTGGCTGTTCTCTCACTAGCACGGGTATAGCTGACCCAATGGGAGAGGTGGACGGTGGATACAAGGAGCACTAGATGATGGAGTGGTTAGCACAGGTTAAGGTAGTTCTGGGGTCACGTGACTCAGCCATCCAAAGAGCAAGAAGCTGCACTGGGTTGAGTGTGAATGCAGGATGTGGAGGGAGAGCCTGGCTGGGCAAAGCCACTGGCCTGGAAGGGAGGAAGTCAAAGGTAGGCCTGGGGCTGAGTTACAGCTATGTTGAGGTGTCTCCCCAAAGCCTCATGCAGTCAGAGGCCAGGCTTCTAGACTTTGTGATTAATCCATGATCCAGTGCTGGGTTTAGGGGCTGAGTGCTGCAGGGAATATGGGTGAATGCTACACCTGGTGGGGGGCAGACAGCCTGGATGCAGCGTAACGGAGAGGCTTGCTCTGTGCCCTTGTCTTTGCTCCTTCCTTTTTGCTCTTGCTGTTTTGCTGTCTTCTGCTGCCATTAGCTGCTGCCCTCTGCCATGAGCCACTCTGCCTTGGAGCCAGCTCAGTATGGACTGAAACCTCCACTAACTGAGCTAAATAAACCTTTCCTTCTTTAATTTTGAGCATGAGGCATTTTATCCCAGCAATGAGAAAAAAGTAACAAGACAGGCTGAGAGGGGAGGGAGAGCCTGCTATCCTCAGGGGAATCCTGCAAATGTGGGAAGCATCACCTATGCTACAAATATCTAGAAAACAAAGAAAACAAGAAAGGAAGAGAGGGATCCACATGCGGAGAGAAAGAAGGCAGAGCAGGACAAAAGAAAGCACCAACACCTAAAGAAAAGGAAAGGAGGCCCATGCTGCCAAGGGTCAGGCCTTTCAAATCACCCACATGAGTGTGTGACAGTCCCTGCCCATGAGTGACTGCAAGCCCATCCATGTCTTCCCTAGATATCTTCAAAGCCTGAAGAACTATATCCTCAAGAGGCACTTACTGTGTTTTGGAAGTATCATTTACATGTCAAACACTGTATGGGTTGAGTCTGATTTCAAGAGAAAGTCAGAGCTAGGCATTATGGTGCATGCCTGTAATCTCAGTTTTAAGAGGCTAGGCAGGAGGACTGCCACAAGTTCAAGACCAGAGTGGGCTACACAGTGGGTTCTCTAGGCAGGCCTACACTGTATAGTGAGATCCTGTCTCAAAAAAGGGTAGTTAGAATGACAGCAGTATCCTAAGAGGGGACCATGTAGGAGGTCATCTCAGCCAACCTCCTGTTTACATGTCCCTCCTGGTCAGCCTGTCTGGCCTGCCCCTGACAGGATCTGCTTCTGCTCCAGCTTCCTCCAGCCCCTTCTGCATCTCTCAGGCGGACCTCAAGCCCAGCAAAAGTCTGAACAGGTCTGTCTGCCAAAGTCTGGAATTGTGAGACTATCATCTATTCATTGAAGAGGAAAAAGAAAAAAAGAGGACAAGGAGGAGGAGAAGAAGAATGAGGAAGGAAAGGAGAGAAACAACAGGTTTGTAGTTACCCTACATGGGTCTGGACAGTGAGCGTGTATGTTTGGGGGAAGACCGAGTTAAAAAGTTCAGCTTCCCCAAGTCTCCACGCCTTCCTTCTGTGGCTTCCTATCCCAAAGGAACACACAGCAGCACTTCATTTTAATCAGCTTTCCTGCTTCTCTAAATTGCTGTTAGAGACCAGACAGGCACATGCAGACAAACTGGTTCATGCTGCTGTCATTAACTGCTAGGCCTGTTTGCCCCCTGCAACACGAACTCCTTAAGAACACTGACCAAGTGTACATCTGTGGACCGAGACAGCCAGTTCACTGAACTCACCAGGGGGCAAGCCTGCTACCTCTCTCTTCAACTTCCTCTAAAATGCTGGGAATGGCACTGTGTGCTGCGCCTCAAAGGTCACAGGCCCAGGGGAGCTACCACCTCCACGACATCTCTGATCTGCATTCATTTTAGCAGCAAAAATGATAACTACAAACCCAAAGGTAGAGGAGAGAAATGCTGGGATTCTCAATTTCAAAATACAGAAATCAGAAAGGCATAGAAGGTGGGCATAGGGAGCTGGAGAACTTGAGATTCTTCACGCTGCTTTAGCAAGCTTCTAAGGATTCAATGTGGCAACTGAGGGAGCTGTGGGGGACTGATACGGTGCCAGGATGATGAAGAAAGTGGAATGTGAATGCTCAGAGCGGGGGCAGGGTGTGCAACCCATGCCAGGAAGGCTCCAGTAGATGCGATGAGCTGGATGTCTGGCCCCTGGACAGCAGAGCCAGTGCTTACCTGGTATGCTCAGCTGCAGGCTGCAGGCCCCCGCCAGCTGGAGAAAGCGCAGGCACCACAGCCGCTGCAGGGCTATCCGGGACCTGCTCCGGCAGAGGTGATGGCAGAGGTGCAGCCAGCTCAGCAGGTGGGACAGGAGGCTGCATGGAGGGTGGGGCGCAGGATGCTTTCCGGCCAGCCGAGGAGCCTCTTCGAGCCACCCAAGATGTGTCCATAACCCTCACACCCATGCTGATGAGGGACACAAAGATACCTTTTTACAAACGCATGACAGCTGACAGGCTCCCTTCCCCCCAAAAGCAGAGACATTCAAGCAGGTCCATGGTAGGAGAAGAGCAGCGCAGGCTTAGCACCCTTCCGGGCCAGGGAAGCGGTGTGCAGCGGGTGGGCAGGGATTGGCCAGTAACTCCCCCAGGGCCGAGACTGCTGGGGCTGCCTAAAACACAGCCCCTGCAGCCCAGGCTTGGCAAGAGCAGCACTCCCACAGCGGCAGGCTGCAGCAGGATGCACGCAGCAGCTTGGGGCTCCCCAGGCTGTGCTTCCACCCTCTGCCAAAGCCAGCTGGCCTTAGGACAGAGGGCTGCCAGGCTCTGTGGGTGCAGAATCCAAGCTGTTCTCCAAGCAGAATGTGGCCTAAGGAAGGAGCAGGGGACACTAGCTCCTCCCAAGTGTAAGGGGTGGGGGGAGACACCATCTAACTAGAACACTGAACCAACCAACGCAGGAGACATTGAAATATAAATCCTCTTTCTTGTTTGCTAACTTGGTGTCCAATCCCAGCTCCACCAATGCTGGGGCACCCTGGCAAGTCCTCTGCAGAATCTGCAGACCACACCTGCTGGTCTGCACAGCAAGGAAGGGGCTGCTCACGCCCACGGTCCCTCCAGGGTCTCAATTTACTTTAATGATAGGCACACAGCTTCAAGGAAGTCGCCAAGCAACCAAACGGCACATTCACCCTCTCACAGAGCTCACTAAGACACAGCTCGTTTAGTTTAGGAGCTTGAACGTGGCCCTGCAGGTACCAGAGGATACTGTACCTTTGGATTTTCCTAAGGCTGCAGGGACAGAAACATACAGATATTAGTGTCAACAAATCTATGCCGTCCTTTGGACATAAAGGTTGTCTTTCTCTAGGACAGTCGTGCCATGGTCAGATTTGTAGAGTAGGTTGTTTTCTTTTCCCATGAAATTATTACAATTTAGTTGATGGGGGTGTTTGGTGTGTGTGCCATGAAATCATTACAATTTAGCTGGTTAAAGTAACTTTTTTCACTCCTACAAGTAAAAATCACACAGATGAATGGATGGAGCAGCTGAAGAGCCGATGCGCTGTGGGGTGGGTGGAGGGAGCCGGAAGGGACACAGGTAAGGAGACGAAGTAGCTCTCTGCTCACTTCTAAGGTACGTGGACTTGGAGCAGTTGGTGCCTTTTCCTCTGGCCTACGAGGTAACTGATCCTATGGTCCTGAGTCAAGGGCTTTATAGGTTGAGGCAAGAGCTCACATAAGACAGATATATTTGTGCAGGGTGAAAATAGACTCTGGGCAGCATTTGTGTACCGTGGCACAGAGACATGAGATTAGCTGTTTGTAGCCTCTTCTTGTCTACTAAATAGTCATCCACACTGGTCAGAAGCAAAAAGTTATACCATGAAGTCCTGCCCACCTAAAATGATTACACTGGCCTTGCAGAGATATGGCAAGATTAAAAAATAATAATAAAAGCTCAAGTACAGAGACTGGTTGTAAAGAGTGCAATTTCGGTCTTCTGAGGAAACATGGCAAAAGACTGGCAGAAAGGGACATGGTGGGACATGACTGCTAAACCATTTTGGAGTAAGGACAGCTTCCTAAGCATTTCTTCCTTACTACTGCCAGCGAGCCTTTGCCGTCTAGGGCCATGGTTGGTATTCCTTACCTTCTCCGATACCTTCAAGGAGCACCTTGGAATAGAAGAGTGGGGGAAGAGATGTCTCCCTCCACAACCCATTAGTTTCGGGATGGCTTGGGTGTGAAACCAATAAACAAACAACTTCTATATCATACGCAGAAAACTTCTTAGAGACTACCCAAAAACTCTGGGACAGAGACCAGTCTGTGTCATAGGGGATTATCTCAGGATGCTCTCTGAGTTTCAGAGCACATCAGGATGAAAAGAACATCTCTACTATTCCACTGGGTGAAGAGACCTTGATCAATCTCTTTGTTGGAATGGTCAGTGAGGATAGCAGGCATTGACATGCTTCTTATGGTGATCATTAAAAAGAGCCCTGAAGGATGTTGGCTCCACTCCACCTTCTTTTCCTTCCTCTATTCTCTCCTACTTAGGAAATCTTTTCCACAGTAGAGCAGAGGAGGCTGCGCCTCAGGTTAAAGTGGTGGGGATGCCTTCTACTTCCAATGGCAACTTCCAGGCTCAGTAACATCAGACTTGAGCCCATTTGGTGATCTGGTTTAGCAAGAAAAAAAGCCAGCGTGGAACTGGTATAGTACTGGTTGAGTCTTGCTAACCATCCCTCGCAAAGCTACAAAAGAGAACTATGAGCTAAATGCACACTTCTGTCTTTGCTGAGGGGCCATGGTGCTGTGTGTAATCACCACTACGCCAGCTGAAATGACTCTCTTCTGGAAGGCAGTGTCAAATGCTCACAAAGCACGCGTGCAACTAATGTTCACTGACATTTTCACAGTTACATAATCCTGCCAGAGTGAGTCAATCACAAAGGTTGGAGCTATGCTCTTCAAAAGGGCGAGTCAAGCCTGAGATACTTGTCTTCCACTTCTCTCTTCTAGGGCAAGGAGATAAAGACTGGGTATACAGAGCTGGGTCACTGGGGACCCTGCCCTTGGAAGGAACCGATGTAGTTCTAAGCGGGATTCTGGTTCTCACAAGAGAGTTGCTATAGAAACGCAAGCCCAATCTTAAGCCTCTTTCTAAGAGTCCTTCTCTCATATGAAACTCCTGCTGTGATGCCACCTACTGTGTAACACAGTCAAGGGGGCCTTCAGAGCAGGGCCGACGGCACTGGACCTACAGATCTGTGACAAAAAAAACTATTCTTTTTACATGTTGCTTGGCCTCAGGGTTTATTTTTATTTTTTTTATAGCAACAGAAAACAAACTAAATGAATGAGCAACACAGAGCACATCCAAGAAGCATGACTGCACAAGCAAGTGTACTGCACAGGGCTGGGTGGGTGGAGGCTCAGAGAAGAACACAGCCTGAGGGAGGGGATACAAAGGCTGGGTAGCTGGTTTGTGCGAGACGGGTGACTCCATCCACATGTCTGCTCAGCGCAGCACGGTGCTGTGCAAGCGGGGAACTTTGAGGGTTTAGTTTTTTAAATGTAGTTAGTACAGGGTCTGCAGGGTCTCACTACACAGATCAGACTCGAAGTGATCCTCCTGTTTGCAGCCTCCCAAGAGCTGGGATTGCAGGCATGTGCCACCACGCCCAGTCTCAATCGCCATCTCAGTGTGCCCTGACGGCAGGGCCAGCACAGCATGCCAAGGTTTGAACTCCGTCCCTATGTCTGCCTAAGCAGGCACTTTAATCTGCTGAGCTATCTGGAGCTTGAGTTTTAATACCAAATTCCCAGTGGTTAACTACATGATATACATGAGTTATTTTTGACCATATTCTGAGAAATGGGAGAGTCAATGTATCTTTCTCCCTTAGGGCTGCTGTAAAGAATGAACAGAACAATGTACATATGATCCAAGGCCCTCACGAAGACTTAGTGTCAATTAAGCTGTCATAATCTGAAAGTTCAAAAATAGAAATGCTCCAAAATGCAAAATTCTGTGAGCACTAATATGATACCACAAGTGGAAAATGCCACACCTGACCTGACAAGATGAACTGCCGCCCAAATGCAGGTGTGAGCGCCCACTTTGGCAGCACAGACACAAAATGGTTAAAATGCTGTACAAAGCGACTTTCAGGCTCTGGACATAAGGTCTGCATGAAACACAAATGAGCCAAGGGCCTAGTGTTGGGTCCCGCCCTCAAGACACCTCATCATGCGTACAGAAATATTCCAAAATCTGGAAAAAGAAAAAAGTGAAACATACTACGGATGAGGAATACTCAACCTGTAGACGCATCAGTGATGTTGATGCTCTATCCTTGTAAGTTCCAAGCACATAGACTTCATTACAAATAAATCTACTTGGACAAAATCAGAGCGTGAAGCCAAATGTAAAATATATTTATGAAAGGCAAGAAGCAATGCTGTATTGGGAAGCGGGGACAGCATGAGATGGAGATAATGGGAAGATGCCATTCTGGGTCATGGCATTTAGGTCTATCATCGGATTTCTTCCTGCCCAGCAGAGGCCCTGAACATCAAAGAGATTCGGAGTAGCCTCTGGCAGAAGAAAGAAAGGAACCAAAAATAAGGATAGGTAATTCAGAGATCTTCTTTGGATTGTGTCTTGTACAGTTCTGGAAGCTAGAGGGGTCAAGATGGGTTTCAGAGGAGGAGATACCAACCACCTATTTAGATGATGTTAGGATTAAGGAAAAGAGAAATACAGGAGGGATCAACACAAAAGTCCCAATGGCGTGGTTTGGATAAATACACTGCAAAGGCCTATGTGCTGAAGGCTTACTCTCCTGCTTGTGGCAATACTAGAAGGTGGGGAAATGTTCAGTATTGGAGGTGGGGCCTACTGGGAGGAAGCCAGGTCACTGGGGTGCCCTTGAAGGGAATATTAGGACCTGCTTCCTCCTCTTCTTCTGTTTTCTAGTCACCTGGAGTAAGCAGTTTTCTCCACATGTTCCCATCATTCTGTGCTGCCTCACCAAGGCCCGATCACCATGGCAATCAGGACACGTAACAACAGACTCAAACCTCTAAAACTGTAAGGCAAAATAAATGTTTTCTCCTTTTAAGTTGATTATTTTAGTTAGCTAAAATAGAGAGTTAACAGACAGCTAATAAGAAGAAAACTGTACAAAGAGAAATTGTCCTTTCTCAAATTTTCTTTTGAAATTGCCTAGCTCTGTAACTGCTCATGGCTTTGTAATTACTTCCTTGACCCCCATAACTGTGACAGCATACATACAGGATGCCTGACTGTACCACTGTACCAAGCTTCATAAACTGATGATCATTAATCCATCCAGGTACCTGATGACCTCACCCTGCAGCTAATCAGAACTGCCAAGCTGTTCTGTCTCACCTTGGTACTGCCTTTGTACCTCCTGCTTGTGCATTACATAA